GTCGGCAATCTTTACATTACATTAAAACAACTTTTACATGAGAATTTTGATCATTTTCATACATTATCATTCCAAGAGACAACATAGTTCTGTAAAAAGGATCTAGCATGCTTAGCTAAGGCATCTACTTGGCAAATTGCGTCTCTTCTTACGAACATGAAGTTATAACAAGACTCAAGATCCGCCTTTAAGCAAATGTCCTTCAGGTAAGTAGTTAATTCATGATGCTTCCACTGATGTGCTCTATTTAATGAGTATTGATCAGTGAGCTACCCATTAATTATTTTTGCATCTCCGCAGAAAGTGAGTCCTCGGAAACCCCATCTCTTAACTTGCACAATAGCTTCTCTAAGAGCATAAACTTCAGCTTCCATTGCATTTCTCATTGGTTGAAGAGAAGAGGAGCCTTTGAGAATCAGCTTACCTTTTGGACTCATCAGCATCCAACCAAACTCAGCTATACTATTTGCAGAAGTCCATGATGCATCTACAAATCAACAAATTCCATTCGCTCTGCGTTAAGCTTCCATCATTGTTGTTGGTACATTTTCCTTCATATTAGCATCAGCTTCCTGCTCTGTTTGCGGACTTCCTCTCATATATGATGTTAAGTGCTCCGAGATTCCAGAGGTATTTCCCGACGCCCCCCTCTTTGGTTATTGATAACACTTCCCTTGATGGCTTCTCGTGTTTTATATCAATCATATACCTAAGAAACAAGCAGAAATATCAAAGATCTCCTTATAGGTTGTATCAGATAGATCAACATCGACAAAACCCGCAAACGATGGTTTGTACATCCTATCCTTTGGGAGTAGACCCTTATCTTGCTTCAAGGACGAACTATAAAAAACTTCATGTTTCATTAATCAAATGAAAAGAATATTACGTATAATATAAATATTAAGGCAGAGAGGGAGGTTATGGAACGTACGGTCTAGCATCCGAGCACATGAGTATAAGCTAAATATGTTAAGTCAATATTTACACATTATTGTGGTTCTTTCCTAACTTGTGTGCTTAATACTCTGTATAAATTAGTGTACATCTCCCTGTAATTGTAATAAGACAAAAATATTATCTTTCTCTACAATGAGAACCTTAGGCTTATGAGTTGAAGTGTCTTTAAAGACTCTAAAGAAGACATGGGTGTACTCTTTCAAATCAGAAGTGGCTAAAGTGATCAGACCAAAAGGTCCCACACCACCTGTCACACTCAAGCATTTCATGTTACATAACTCCAACGGCTTGAACGTGAAGCTCGAGTCGAACGTCTCGGCTTGAGCAGGAGTAATACCTTTGACTTCTAAGCGTTCACCCATCTTGATCTCATGATTGTTCATTCGTACGTAGTTACTTCTTAATGTCTATTTCTTCGATAGGCCAAAATATTAGTTGCTTCTTGGTTGAATCAAGAGCACTGTTCTTGGAATTACCTATAGTATACCAACAATTAATCATTTTCATTATAGTAACATAAATATTTGATTAATATTAACAAAATTGTGTGTTTGATTACATACATGTAGACCAGCCCAACCTTTTAACATATCATCTTCAACGGTATCAGATTCATTGGCGCAACCCCACAAGATTCTTCTTTTCTTTTTGTAGTAAAAAAATGTTTTCGATGTGTAGAAATTACCATAGTCGAACCTTAAACCATCCCAAGCATCGGGTGAATCATCGTCCAGTACGTACCGGTCTTTTTTAGGATCATATTTGCCAAGCGTGTAATACTTATACCGGGTATGTCCAAACTGACCTCCAACACGTGCTTAGTGTTTGGACCAACATAGTCCAAGTCCAAACCGTTGTTAAAATCGGTTAAAGAAAGCGGGAAGAAATCAGGACACTCCCAATGCTTGAAATCTCGGCTCCTGTATATATAAGCGATTCCTCTATGTTTTCTCTTCGAACCCACAACGGTTCTCCAATGACCATCTTTCGAAAACCATGCCGTGGTCGGGTCACGGAACGCAAAACTTTATAAATTGTATAAAAACGTTATAGACTGTTTAAAAAGATTATAATTTTTTTAAAAAAATTTATAATGTAAATAAAATCCTTAACCCTTCCCCCCAAAAAAAAAAAATTTATATCATAATGTAAAATAGTTAACCTAAACCTAATAGTTAACCCAAACCCAATAGTTTTAAATACGTTTGTGTTTACGTCTCTATTGCATTTTTGTTTCAATAATAACA